ACACACACACCTTCAAAATGAGGGGTGTTCAGGTTTTTTAAATGCAAAATTGAAAGAAATACGTCAAGTTGATATTGACCAAATTTTGACCGTATCACCCTTTATATATGTTTGTATATCACGAAAACAACTTTGAATATACGTGCATTCTGGTTGTCTGGGTTCTATGTCTAGTAGGAGTTGGGCCGATTACTCGCGGCTTAGTCGAGGTTAGAGGGGTACATTGTTGAAGGATAGGATCAGGGGAGGAGCTTGGGGTAGGTTTTTGTTGTCTCATCAGAGCGTTGTCGCCAGTATGAATGGTAGTGCTGTTCTAGCTTCGTCTGGAGTTCGACCGGCTATGGTGACCAGTGGGCGACGATGAGAATCATCGATACGGGGGGACAAGACAAACAAAAACTAATAAAGAGAGACAAAAGACAAAGGAATTAAATTCTTATACTAGACATTTGAAGAAACACATAAACGGACTGCATATAGCAGAGATCACGGGTTGCCAACACGTATCTGATAGGAACATAGGGTTGTCTTCCTTGGGCCTCGAGGGTATTCAAAAGTCGCTCTCTGGCGGCGTCATTATCCGTACATTGCCAAACTGCGTGTTCGATGTCATCGTAACCGTTTCCACACCGACAGATGTTGCTGTCTGTGTTGGTGTAAGATTAGATGTCAATCTAATCAATGCAAGCAACCAAACTTAAAAATACTATTTTTTGGGTTTTGGATTTACTGATTAACGGTAGACCAAAATGCTACGATGTTTCAGTCTTTGGCTTTGATCTTCTTCATGGGATATAAAGTTGAACCTTCTTCCGTTCATCGCAACCGTGACCTAATCGGGATTTGCTGGACACCATGAGTAAAATACGAGGATCGCAAATCTACTTCCGCACAGCGCTTACTAACACGGCTCCACCTGCATGCAACTGTTGTGGTGTGCAACTAACAATACAGTACATTCTAGTTGAGTGTAGCGGATACGCCCAAACACAGATCGCATGTGGAATCAACGGAACATTAGCTGACGTTTTGGAGCACAACGTGGATAAGTGAATTGGACTTTCGGTCCAAGTTTCATTGAGATGTATAACATTCAGTTGCTGCGCCTTCGTAGCAGGCAACATGTGTTACAATGCTCGAATCAGTAGAGAATGATGATAAAAGAGGGTGAAAATGGCAACAATCGAAAAGGTTTGTTTTTCATTGGTCAGAGTACAAACAAATTATTAATATGAATTTGAAAATCAAGCACGGAAAAACGGAACATTTGATCTTTCCCGTTTAGACCGCCGAACATTTCAGTTGAAATTTTAATAGAAGATTTATTTTGTGAATCAGAAGCTTATGTAATCTAAAGTGAGTTTGAAGCCAAATATTTAAAAATCCTATAATTGCAAGCATTGAAATCTAAATAAAAATCGTGAGTCTAGTGAAATTAAAAACCTGTAAAACAAAAAAAAAAAAAAAACTGACATATTTTTAATGAAAGTGGGAGCTGAAAATTCGTTGGGAGATCTCGAGGAGACTTTCATTCGACGGCTGGCGAGAACTAACCTCGAATAGCACTCGGACCCAGCGTTGCCAGCATTCCATGTTTATCTGGATTTTCCAGATTTCCAGTCGTCTTCCTAGATACACAGACCGATCACGTTAATTTCCAGATTTTTTAAATATGTTCCAGATTTTCCCAGATTTTTTCAATGTGTTGCTTTAAAAATATCACTGCAATTGATGGACAATCTAATAAAAAAAAATCCCAAACTTACTACTTTAATTATTAAAGGCCACCAACGTTTTACATAATTGCAACATCATACATGGAATTGCTACAACATGTTTGCAATGGGTTGCAGAATCATGAAAATTGAGACATGTTTTAAAGATTATTGGCTGAAAAAATCATCAAATTTCTAAAAAATATCGAGCCAGATTTTTTTTTTATTTGGAGTTTTGTTTAGATTTTGCCTATATATTTTTTTAAATCCTGGATTTATAAAAATCAAAACTTAAATATGAAGGATTTTTCCTAACTTTAGAATTTAGAGAAATCGAAAGCTGTTCAGGATTGAAAACAATGAATTGAGCTTTGGAAAATTAGCAAGGCTTTTGAATCTAGACAAGCACCAGGACTTTGAAGTATGTTCGTGCTATTTTTGAGGATAATTAATTAGATTTTAAAGGTGAATTTTAAAATCATCTGATAGTTTTTAGCATTTTTATTTAAAGTACCTGTGAATATTGAGCCACCTTAGCAGTCTGAAATACTTTAGAATTCTGAATTGCCCTAGATTTAAGAATTTTAAGGTAATTCTGAAAATAGTTTAAAGTGAAGTGTGAGTATGCAGTCTGTGCAACCTCTGGTTGAAGACAGTGTCAATTGTCTTTTACAAACTCTGATGACAATTGCATGGAGATTTTGTGAAGATAGGAAATAGTTAGAATTCGGAAGAGAAATCATAGAATATTCTTAAGATGAAATTTAAGGAGAATGCTGATACGAATCGGGAGAATAACTTCAATGGAATTCTGTCCAATGTTTCTATGGAGATTCATTTTTAACAAATTTTAAGAAATCTGGCAATTTCTAGGAGACCTTCAAGGTCATTTTGGCAAAGTACTTGAGTACTTAGGAAATACTGAAGAGGATTACAAAACAATTCTGATCTTACCTACAAATCAGTTCAAAGTATAAGTCTGAAAAGAATGTGACGGTCATTCTGTAGAGCGTACCAAGGAAATTATTAAGAATATTCTAAGGGAACTTCATAGGAAAAAACTGAGACAAAATTATGCCAATTCTCGGAAATTATTTCCAGTTTGAGGGAATTATGGAATCAGCGAGCGGTTTATGAGATATTACAAGAGATGATGGTAAGCACTCTTAAAATTTTACTGAAAAAGTTTGGATTTTATGAAGACTAGTTTAGGGGAATCAAGATAAGAAGTATGATGAAATATAAGGATGATTCAAATTGAACGAAGATATCCTGTGAAGAGTTCCAAGTAAATTCAGACTAACAGAAAATTTCATGATCTGGGACCCAGGAAAAATATAAATTCCAGAATTCAAAAATGACGCTTTCAGACTTTCATTTAAGTTATATAATAAAATTATTCTTTGGCATAAAACTATTTGCAACGGTCGTGTGGAGTTACCCTTAGATTAGATAAACTATGTGTGAGTACCACGATGTTAGGCTTCGATTTTCACTTCAGCCAGGAGAATTTTAGTTTAAAATTAAATTGCCTACTGACCTACCGGATGTTGTGAGTTGTATGATGTCAATGGTGATATATGGTAATATTAGAATTATTTTGAACTAATAACATCTTTAAGAAATATTCTACCTACTGCATCAGTAAGGACTAAATCGACTATTAGTTTAAATAATTCATCCCATCAAAGTTACTTGATTCTTTGCTGGTTCAGAATCCTAAAAATATTTTCTGCAGTATTTTACCAACAATTTAACTCAATTTTGAAATGCTGCGTAATGGATATTTAAACTTTTTGGGTACACTGTGTCAATAATTTTCTTAACTTTTGGATGATTTTAGCAATGCTAACAAGTTTGCTTTGTTTAATATTTTAAAACATGGAATTCATAAACATACGGGTACTAAATTCCAGATGATCATTATACTGATGCAAAATTTGACTTTTTCGCTCCACAGTGCTTAAATGGTTTCAAATCGGGTCATGATTAGCCTCTCAAAGTTACAACTCATTTGGTTAGAAACAGACTTCGCACAAGCCATTTGAAGTTTACATGTAAATTACTATGGGAAATCTCAACTTTTTGTTCATTACCTTCTAGTCTTTTTCCATATTGAGCTGCGAAACAGTTCGATCGCCATTCTTATAGAAAATTTTCTCAGCTACAACTTTGCTAAAGATTGTTGCTATGTAGAACGAGACAGGAAAAAGTTATTAATTGTTTAACAGATTGGTAAATTTATGACATGATCAAGCAGCTGCTCTGTAGGCAACACTGTATTTTGCAGTGTGACATAGTAGCCATGATTTGTATGTCCTATTCAACACCCCAGAAACACCAATGTTGCCTGCTGAGCAGTTGATTGAGCATGATCATAAGACATCAGCGCATTGAACAATTGATAACTTTCGATCCTTTTTTTAGCATTTAATTAAAAAGTGGTGTTGAGCAAAGTTGTAGCTGGAAAAATTTCCTACAAGTACAGTTGAAAACTTTTGAAGCAGACCGATATGATAGACATGAACAAAAATCTTGGTTTTACTATAGTAATTCCCATGCAAACTTCAAATGGTTTGTGCCATCTCAGTTTCTCACCAAATGGGTTAAAATTTTGAGAGGTTAGTCAGCATCCGATTTGTAATCGTTTAAGTATTGTGGAGCGAAAATTTCAAATTTTGCATCACTCTAATGATCATACTGACCGATTTTTACGGGAGATTGGCAGATCATTTTGATTTCAAAAGCATTATGTTAAAAACAGGATTTTTTGGAGCATTCCAGATTTTATATTTTAACTGGTCCAGATTTTTCTGAAAATTACCAGAGAACGCTGCTCGGACCTAAGTCCGTCGGTTAGCGAAGTGCTACGGATCAGACGGAGGGCGATTCCCTGGAGGTAGCCTTTGTCTCACGGTTGCGTACCGTTAAGGGTACAACCAGAGAGCATGGTCATCGAATTGAAGTTTGGCCTCGCGATCGCCACCCGTCACGTCCCGGGAAATATATTTTCAGTACCAGTCTAGATCAACTCCTATGCTCCTCTTGGTGGTCGCCGGTAGATTCGGGTGATACGACTCCCTTACCCTCTGCAAGGTGGAAAACCGATTGTCGTTTCTCTTATGAAGTTTAAAGTACCATTCAATAGTTGCTTTCAATAAAATTGAAGCCCTATGCCAGCTAGTCAAATCCTTTTTGAGGCCTTCTGCGATTTTCACTGAACAATGCTCGGGTTTATCGAAAGAATCGATATCAATATCAGATTAAAATAGCGACAACACTTACGATCGACATCAACGTCAGCACGTACGACTTGAGCGTATCCTTGTGGTACTCCTGCATCTTCTTGTCCACCGCCACCAGCACCTCGATTGTGTACTCGTTGTTCGCAATGTGCGCCGTGCTTCGCTTGCTCCTTGGGCTGCGACCGTGGCGCTGTCCATCGCCGTCACCGACCGGGCTTCCGTCTGTCAGTTCAATGTCTTCCAGCTGCTTGTCGTGTTCTGTAACAAAGAAAGAAGAAGAGAAGAAACGCATGAGGACCTTCTCTCTCTCTCTCTGTCTGTCTCTATTTGTAATCGCGACTACTCTTGAGCAATTCTTAAAACCCACCAACCAAACGACTAACCAACCGCCTTCCACTCTCCCTCCCTTCCCGCTGCTTGGATCGAATCCGACCGTAAGGTGTCATTGAACATCATAGCCTCATCATAATCCCCATTCACAAGAAAAGGGCAGAAACTTGTTTTCATTCATAATAACAACAACAAACCACACAATCATCTCTCCTTCAGCGGAACGCGAGAGAAAACATTCCGATAATTGTTGAGGCTGCCCTCGTCGCCGTCACCGTCGCCATCGTCGTCGGCAGCTCGAATTTCTACGCTGAAAGCACGCATGCTCGCTCACCCGCAGAAACCGGGATGCTGTGGACGGCCCCGGGTTGGCCGGCCGGGTGCGCGACGTGCAACTCGTAAAAATTAAAATATTATGCTAATCAAATTAACGATTTTTAATGTTCCACTCCCTCTTTGGCTTCGAACGGCTCGCTCTCGCGCGTTCGGTTGCCTAGCGAGCGATTGAATGGTGGTGCTAGTGAAGTCGGCATGAAACGCTAGTTAGCATAAATAGCAGACACTTGGTCTAGCTTCGTCACCTCGTCACCTCACTGGCTCGGTCGCTCGCTCGCTGGGTCTCTGTCAAATCAACCTGTTTTCCGATGGTCTTCGTCATCGCTTTGCAGAGCCCCACCGCCTGGATGGTAAGCAGCTGCAGTGCAGTGATTGATGGCTGTGACGGGGCTGCGCAGGTTTGGTCTATGGAAGGGCTTTTGGAATTGGGTAGGAATTTCAGAGATGTTGTTCAAGATTGCGGCATGAACATGAATTATGCGTGTGTGTGTGTGTGTGTGCGTGGAATGCGTTCAACTATTGGTGTGAGGTTTAATGGTATTTATTTCTGAGAATTGGAAACAATTACGACAGCAATGATTAGTCAGTCAGGCAATGAATAAAGTAAAATCACCTACTGAAATACGGATAAATTTGTCAAATCAGTACGAGTTCGTCGCTTGTCAGTTCCTCGGAATGACGACGCATTGAAGTCTTTCAGTTTCTTATTATGATAAAAGTTATGAGGCATGGTACCTCATAAATGGAGTCCAGCTTGTATTAGAGATTTGAGAAACTTCAAGTTAGTGTTTCTCAATCTATGGATCACGACCCACCGAATTTAGGCAACTTGATCATGCATTTAAAAATATCTGTAAACATTTCCCTGATCTTAAAATTATTTTGAGATTCAAATGAACAACCTGTTTCAAAATTATATTTAGATTGCCAATGCCTTTTTTAGTGATCAATGGGTTATTAAGGATATTTTCACGTTTTAAAGGGCGTTCAATCTTTTATTTTGCAATTTCGAAGCCATTTTAATATTTTAAAGCCAGTTTTGAAAGGTTTGGAGGCCATTTTAACCCATTTATCTGTGCCTCTAAAATAAAACTAGGTTCATTGCGAAAATCCTTCAAAACGGGTGTCAAATAAAATTCGAAATATGTATCACCTAAGAGGCAGGCATATCAAGAACTAAAGTGCAAAAATGTCAGAGAAAAAATCGGTTTGATGAATAATCAACCCAAGTAACAATTATGGTTTTATGAGGGTTCTGTAAACCACGACTCAAACTTGTAGAATGCTATAAAACCTCTATAAAACTTGCAATGTTACTTGGGAAAATTTCCTATGGTCATATTGACAAAGGATTAATATTATTGGACGCTATTAATATGCCATTTTGACATTTCGCACCATTTTTCGAACAATTTTGTCATTCCTGGACCATTTGAGACACTGTTCAAATGCCAATACGTTTCCAATACCATTTTGCAATTTTATAGCCAGTTTGAAATGTCTTGGACATTTGGACATTGTTTTAAATAATGTTTGGCTTTTTGACGTTCAATGATATTGAAAGATTATTAAAACAGTTGTTTTGCCGTTTTAATAATTTTTAGTCCATAGTAACCTTCCTACGGTGTTCAAAAAAAGTAACATTTAAGGTGTTCGGGTCATATTGAGCCAGATTTATCCCAACGATTTCGGTGGCATTTCCTTACCAAATTTCAAATTCTTTGCACCCAAACTAATCTTTACGGCTTACATTTTGTGAATACGGCCACAAATCTAGGATTGGCCGGAATTGACCACTCAAAATCGGTGTCCGAAAGATCAAGGTTTGGCCATTTTTGTACGGGTGTTGTTTTCACAATAGGAGTCGTAAAATGCATTTCAAAGGGCTGAATATGTTATAACTTGCGATCAAAATGAACACCACTGACAATGTGTACTGTTCAGGGAAACATTGGCTATCCGGTGACCTCAGCCCGAGCAGGAAAACATAACTTATTAATACCAAATTCAGGTATGAAAATAGCATAACTGGTAACCTAAATATGGTATTAGTGAGGCTGACATAAGAGGTAAAATACCAAAAATAATACCTCAAAAATATTCTACGAATAACGAACAACTAAAAAATTTAGTTATTACAATAACAAACGGATAACAGACGGTTTTTTAGATGCCTGAATACCATAGTTTGATATTTTGAAGGTCTTCTAATACCAATTCAATAACTCTTTTAGATGTTATTGTCTAAAAACTGAAAGATCACATTTTGTTATTTTGGTATTCATTTGATATTTCACAACATATTTCGATAACTGAATAATATCAAAACAAGGTTTTATACCACAAGCATACCGAAATCTGCTATCATACCACATTAAGATATTCTTTTGTTATCGATTAGCTATCGGTTCCTGCTCGGGAAGCACCGAAATCTGCTATCATACCACATTACGATATTCATTTGTTTTCGATCAGCTATCGGTTCTTGCTCAGAATGACAGGTTCCGGAAGCACCGTAAATGAGAATGAAATTATGTGTACTTTCTAATTCGACTTGGCCACCTGGTAGTCCCGGAACAGGTTCCGAAAGCACCGTAGATGTGGCCAATTGATCAATTTCATAGAACCAAGCCGTGCTGCACCTCCAAATCTGCAGTATTTAATGAAGAACTCATCAGAGCCCATTTTTTATCATGTCTGGGGTAACATTGGCCACCTGATGGTCTCGGAACAGGTTCCGGGAACCCCGGAAAGACGGCCAATTTATGATTTTCATAGAAGCAATTCGTGGAAAACCTCAATATTGACAGAATTTCATGAAAAATTCATCAGAGATCATGTTGACATGTCCGCGGCAACATTAGCCATCCGGTGGTCTCGGAACAGGTTCTGGGAACCCCGAAAAGGTGGCCAATTTATGATTTTCATAGAATCAATTCGTGCAAAACCTCAACATTAGCAGAATTTCATGAAGAATTCATCAGAGGTCATGCCAACATGTCCGGGGCAACATTTGCCATCCGGTGGGCTCGGAACAGGTTCCGGGAACCCCAGAAAGGTGGCCAATTTATAATTTTCATAGGACCAACTCGTGCAAAGCCTCAAAATTTGCAGAACTTCATGAAGAATTCATCAGAGGCCATGCCAACATGTCCGGGGCGACATTGACCACCTGATGGTCTCGGAACAGGTTCCGGGAAACCCGGAAAGACGGCCAATTTATGATTTTCATAGAACCACTTCGTGGAAAACCTCAAAATTGACAGAATTTCATGAAGAATTCATCAGAGATCATGTTAACATGTCCGCGGCAACATTAGCAATCCGGTGGTCTCGGAACAGGTTCCGGAAATCCCGGAAAGTTGGCCAATTTATGATTTTCATAGAACCATTTCGTGAAAAACCTCAATATTAGCATAATTTCATGAAGAATTCATCAGTGGCCATGCCAAAATGTCCGGGGCAACATTAACCATCCGGTGGTCTCGGAACAGGTTTCGGGAAAACCGAAAAGATGGCCAATATATGATTTTTTTAGAACCAATTTGTGCAAACCCTCAAAATTTGCAAAATTTCATGAAGAATTCAGCAGAGGCCATGCCATCATGTTCGGGGCAACATTGACCATCCAGTGGTCTCGGAACTGGTTCTGGTAACCTAAAAAAGGTGGCCAATTTATGATTTTCACAGGACCATGTCGTGTGATACCTCAACATTCGCAGAATTCCATGGCTAATTCATCAGAGGCTATGTCAACTGTCTAAAACAACATTGGCCACCTGGTGGTCCCGAAATAGGTTCCGGTTACACCATAAATGTGAACAATTTATCACTTCCATAGAACCAAGCCGTGTGACGCCTCGAAATTCGCAGATCAGAGGCCACGTCAACGTGTCCGGGATTTGGACATTGGGATTCACCAGATGGATTCTTCATGATTTTGGGGCGCCACCCGGCTTTGTTCTATTTAAGTGATAAATTGGCCACATTTACGGTGCCTCTGGAACCTGTTCCGGGATCACCAGGTGACTAATGCGTACAGTTTGAAATGCAACACACCCGTACAAAAATAGCCAAACTTTGATCATTCCGACACCGATTCTGAGTGGTCAACTCCGGTCAATCCTAGATATGTGATCGGATTAAGATAAATTTGGGTGCAAAGAATTTGAAATTTGGTACAATAATGCCCCCGAAATCGTTGGGTCAAATCTGGGTCAATAGGACCCGAACAGCTGAAACGTAATTTTTTTGTTGAGCCCTTCAGGAACGTCCAAAAATTTCGGCCAATACGGAGAAATTGAGTTTTCCATAAAAGTTTAAATGTCATAACATTTTAGAGCGAAGTTTGGACGCTTTGAAAGTGCGAGTTGGGTCATATTGACCCGAACACCGTAGGAAGGTTAAAGATATTATAAGCCATTTTGGTGTTATAAAGTCGTTTTGGAAACAATAGGCGGTTGAGAAGTCGTTTTTAAGGTAATGTTGAGGATTTTAATGGTGTTTTAAAAGGCCACTTCAGTGTTCTGATTTTGCGATTTTAGGCTTTTTTCAGTCGTAATTTTGGCTTTGCAAGTTAGCCCCGAGTTGAT